ATTCTTTCACAGTAGCTATATTCCTCTATGTCTATACATTGTCCAATTATTATTATTTCCTATTTGTGTGTAATTATTTAAGTTACAATCACCTATCCTTCCCGAATACACTAAAACCTGAAACATCCTTCACTCAACATTTCTTCACTTCATTATCCCAATAATCACTCCTCAACTTTCTCAGAATTTTTATTTCAATTAATCCCTTATAACTCTACAGTATTTAAACAAATGTTGAACATAAAAATTAAATTCAGATGTTCTCTTCTGATTTATATCCCAATTCACTAATTATTATCTTTGTAATTTACCCTTTTTACACTCTATTATCATTGTTGTGACCGACCCTGGTAAACTTGTTTAAAATTTATTTAAAATACTAAATAAAATAGCCTTTTAAAATAGGCTATTTTATTTTGGATTTTTCACCTCTAGTTATGCTCCTATTTTTTGCTTCTATTTAATAAAGCCCAAAACGAACCGTACTTCGGCCATATTTACGGTATTTATCAATATTCCGTAGCATCCAAATATTTCCATACAATGTGAAAGTCATATGGTAGGTAAAAATATAAACAAATAAAAAAACAAACAAAAGTGCAAATTTTAAAAAGCCCTAAATAGCTAAATAAATTTATATAAAAATAAGGCGGTAAATTATGAAATGTATTTATGTTATTTTTTATTTATTTTCTCACCGACTGATTTTAAATTTGCACTTTGGTTAATATAATTAGTAAATAAAATTTTGTAGTTTGGTTAGATTTGTACCCACTTTTATCTCTAAGGATTTTAATTATTTGTTGAGATCATATAAGTTAATGGGTTTTAATTTTGTTTAATTGTATGCGTAGGGCATCAGAGCTTTTTAGAAATTATGTTTGCTCATGGACAATTAAGATTTTAACCCGAATATTTCCAAACTGCTTGAAAGACATACTAGGTAAAAATATAAACAAATAAAAATTGGATTGACTAATTATATTAACCGCGGCAATTGACAAAAAGTGCAAATTTTAAAAATCCCCTAAATGGCTAAATAAATTAAGTAAAAATAAGCGGTAAATTATGAAATCTATTTATGTTTATTTTCTCAGCGAATGATTTTAAATTTGCACTTTGGTTAATATATTTGGTAAATAACATTTTGTAGTTTGGTTAGATTTGTACCCCCTTTTATCTCTAATGACTTTTTTCGAAATACTCGGGTCGAAATCTTGATTGACAATGTCAAAAATCGAAATTTCGAACAGCTCTTATTAACTTAGCTAATGATGGAAATGTCAAAATGAGACTATTTATTTATTTTGTCTCAACAAAATTAAATTATTATAATATTTTCATAAATTGTAAACAAGTTTATTCAAATTATTCGAATATTTACTAGCTTTTGATATTTTATTAGAATTATATTTAATCTATAGTTTTATATGGATTCTCGTAGAATGAATGACACTATCTCCTGTGAATTTTTGAATAAAATTGTTAAGAAATTTCTGATTAATTCGAATACTCTCCCAAATTTTTATATTATTATTATTATTATCCAAATAATGCCCGAATTGAATAAATCCACTGAATTCTTACAAATCATCAGATAAAATATATATTTTTTTACCTAAATGCCCTCGAAAACTCCCCAATTCATCATATATTAATTCGTTAATCTCCTTCAATTGGACTCAACTTTTGAACTCAAAATTTGAAAATAAAATTTTCAGATCCGAATATTCGAAATTTTCGTTTCGGATATCGGATAGCATAAATATTCGTTTCTGATACCGGATACGTATATCCGAAGATTTCCAAATATTCAACAGCCATATACTAGATCCCTTTTATTTTTTGCTTTATTTACTATAATAGACTTATGAGCATATTCCATATCTGGAATAACGACCGATAGAATTTGTAATTTTAACATTATTTAAGTTTATCGAACGTACTCTAGTTATAAAAAGACATTTATTATTAGTTATTTTAAATATCTTAAACTTTTATCTGTATATTATAAAATATTTTTAATATTAGAATTTAAGATGAATAAATTTATTATTATTCTTTTCACGTATAAGGTTGTTCTGTTGAATATCCAAATCAAAGGTAGATTGGTTGAAGTTGGATTAAAAATAAAAAATGATTGGGAAGGAAAAAGAGAATTTATTTATTTGAAAAATATTAAAATAAAGGAACGTTTTGTATTGATAATGAATGTCAAACAAAAAAGTAGAATAGTTGATTATATTTATAAGAATACTGGATCGTTTTGTAAAATTGAATTGGATCCTTTTAATAAAGTTTTTATTGTTAAACTAAAACAAGGGCGAAAGGTTAGATCTCAATTAAAAATGAGAATTTTGATTGAAATTGTCAATAATGAAATTGTTGAGGAATTTTCGAAAAACTTGGGAAAACAGGTATTTATATTTAATTATTTGTAATTTAAGCCTTCAATAATACAAAAATTTAATATATTTAAGATTCGCCTAAATAATAATTTTATCATGAATAATAATTATTATGAAACTTCTTTATTAGAAGAAAGTTTAGAAATTATAAATAAAAAAGAATTATTAAAAGAAAATATACAAAATTTCAAAAACAAACTTTTATCAAGTTATTGGACGGAAATTAATTTAATTGGATATAAAATTGAATTGTTAGAAAAACAAAAAGTTGAATATTCGAAGGAATTAGAAAACAAAATTATTTACATTGGCAACAAAATAAGTAAATAAATTTTTAGCTTCTTTTCATTTGACCAAAAAATTTTTCCTTAATAATTATAGGTGAAATAATTGAAGCAAATAAACGAAATTGTTTCATTTGTAGAGTATCACAGACAAAAGATTGGTATAGTGTATTAAAAGGACATTACCTGTGCAAACAATGTGGCGACTATAAAAACAAATATGGAAAGTTTAGATCAAATGAATTATGGTTTAAGACTAAAAAGGTTATAATTTATCAATATATGGGTTTTTATTTATACGTTATTTTGGACCACGACTAGCCTTTAACTTTATATTTATTGAAAACTTTTTAAAAGTCATTGCTCTGTACAAAAATCTTTTTTTAGCAGAGATTAAATTGCTTTTAAAATTTTTATATCAATTGTGAGCAATCTTATTTCATTATCCCCTAAGTTTTAGTAAACATTCTAAAAGAAAGAGAACATTTTTAAGGTATAATCTACTTAACATAAGTACTATTTAATATATATTTTAGCGAATCACACCTGATCGAAATTGTTTTATTTGCGGTGCAACAAAAACAGCAAATTGGTACCGTCATTCAATACCTGAAACATATATTTGTCATACTTGTTACAAAAGACAACAAAAAATAAAAAAAGCAAATTAGAATTCAAAGAAACTCTATTTGAGTCTATGAACATAAATTCGATGACAAATTATGCATATCCTTTTTATGCATTTGTAATATTTATATAATAGATATAAAAATACAAAACTCATTCTGCATCCTAAATAATTTTTTAAATGCTTCTTGAACACAACGATATATTGGTTGACTTTAGAGTTTCACATAAATAATGTTGCATTATTATTTTTTCTTAATCTTTCACAAAAAGGAATAATAACATATTTACTTCTTGCTTTTAAAGTAATTTTTCACGTTTTTTGATTGTTATCCTTTCTTCTTTTTTTTGTTTAATTTTTATTCGTTTAAATAAAATCCATTCTGAATTTTACAGAACTTTATTTCATTTGGTTCTTTTAAACTAATAGAAATCCATTCGAGTTGACTCTATAAACAATCTTAAATTCTCAAATGTTCTTCGGCTAAGACTTGTTTTTTACAAATGAAAGCTATACGAATATTAAATTTTGTGGAAATTTTAAATATTTAATTGACTCATTTGTCAGTAATAGATAAACTTAAAATTAGATTTGGTTGAAGTAATAAATTTAAAGTGACTCTTAGATTTTTGGTTTATCATCAATATTTGACTTTGAATAATTTTTCTAAATTTTTAAAATACTTTAATTATTCCTTTATATTAAATTAAAGGGATTTTAAAATTAATACATAATTAAGTAAGAAATTATCATCGGTTAAAATTTATACTGCATTCGACTCCTTTCCTCTCTATCATACTTTTTCTCAGTTAATTAACTGATTAACTGTTTTTGTGCCTCTTATATTATGAATGATGAATTGTTGTTAATCAGGAATGTTTAGCGACTGGCTCAGAAAGTCGCTAAGTAAGGAAAACATTTAAAATAAATTTAATAAATTTATTTACTTTAATTTAATTTAACAAATACATTAAAAAGTGTGGTGATTAAAGGAAAAGTGTCTGATGGGAAAGTCCGCATAAAGTAGTTGCTAGGAAAAATACAAGGAAGAAGTAATGAAGTAGGGAAAAGTACAATAGTGGAAAAAAGTGATTGTCTTTTAAAGGGAATGAAAGTATATGCTTTTAAAGATAAAAACTTTAGATAAAGAAATTCTGTGGGAAAACGTTGAAGAATGTAAAGGGGATGAGTAATTATAAAATAAAAATTATAAATTAATTATAAACTCGCGTTGAGAAACGCGACACTCCCGGGCCGACAAATGGTTGGACATTAATAAATTGGAATGGCAGGCATGGAGTTGCGGGGGTTATGATTGGTACCCATAATGATCGAATTGAGGGGGCTCGATTAGTAATTAGATTAAGGGAGACATTTGGAGGTGGTGGCGGGGTTAGTAATGTCTGTATATAGTTGGGGTTAATATAAATCTTATTAAGGGGAGTGGGTTTCGAAATTGTGTGTTTTTTGTGAATCTTTTTATTTCTTTTCCTCTTCCCCTTTCTTACTGAATTCTTCTTTATTGTTTGTTCGTGGATGGTGCCGGATTCGATGGTGCCAGTTTCAATATGCGCACTCGGGCGGCGAAGTTGTAGCTTTGTGGGAGTTTGAAGGAAGCCAGGGACGGTGGTTTGTAGGAAGCCAGTGAAGGGAGTTTGAAGGAGGCCAGTGGAGGTAGTTTGAAGTAAGCCAGTGAAGGGAGTTTGAAGGAGGCCAGTGAAGGGAGTTTGAAGGAAGCCAGTGAAGGAGGTTGAACATGTGGGCGAGTTGAAGTAGTTTCTGTTGATGGTGGTGCTGAGGATTCAGTGGTGGCAATTCCAATTGTTGGAGTCGGGTCGCATTCCATGTTGGTGGCGGTTGATTGTGGATGATTTGGCCTGTTAGCTTTTAACAAAATTTTGAATTTTTTATTATGAGGGGGTAGTTCTAAATATCGCTCGGAGCGCCCTCCGCCCCGGAATAAAGTTGGGTGGTTTTGGGCTTCTATAGTGTGTTGAGTAGCCAGGACACTGTTGTCCACATTAGTATTGGCAATAATTTTTTCGGGAAAAGAAGGGAAATTAGGGGGTGTGTGGTGTTGTGGGGGTTCTAAAGTATTACCAGAATTTTCTTCTACGGTAAAATCGGATCCGTCTACGGTCCGGTGTTTGGGTTAATTGAGGGAAGATGTGGTGGGTACTGGAGAGGTGGGGAATACTCTTTAACTTTTACGAAATTTTCGACGGGAGGTGTTGGGGGAAGGTCAGTTACACTTATACCTTCTAGTGTACAAAAATCTGGATTTGGCTCGAACGGGGAGTTTTGGACGCAAAAGTTTGTCACTGTGTTGTTTTCAATTTCACTTTCTTGAGAAGTCCTTGATGGCTCAATGCTTAAATTTTGAGGGGGGATTAGGGAGGTGTACATATTGTGGTAAAAATACGGATTAAATCCGATATCTGGTTGGTATGTCTGGTGGGGGGATAGAGGTGTGTTTGACCTGGGGGATAAAGGTGAAATTTGATTAGTGTGAATTGGAGTGTATTTGTTAGTGATTGACGTTGATTGGCAATTATCCGAAAATTTGGGAAGGGATATTTCCGGTAAATGCTAGTGTGATTCGGTGGGTTGATTTTGATCGGGGAGAGCTGAAATTAGAATTAGTCGTGAGGAACGGAGATTTTTCAGGTATTTTTTCAATTGGAATAACGTACGTAAATAAGGAACAGTTGCGGCAAAATTTTCATATATGGATGTATCGGCGGTTCTTTCCGCTCCGGTCATGTTGGTTCGAGCCTCCATCCATTGGTCGTGCGTTGAGGAAATATCTTAAATAAAATTTAAAATATATACGAGCTCTATTTCCAAGGAGCTCAACAATTTCCGAATGTCGGAATGAAATTGGGATAAACTGACGTTGTTGGGTGGAAGTGGGAAAGTTTTTTGATTAATAAGAATTTTTAGACCGTGCTCTTGGAGAAGAATGAGCTGGTCACGGAAGGGTGTGGACATGTTATTAAGTGAGAAAAAATTAAAAAAATTAAATACGTTAAAAATGGGAAGTCCGTATATGTAAGTTCCGCAAAACGCAACCAATTAGTTGGGGAAGTTCGAGGGCGGTAACGAGGTCACCGGCTGAGCTTTAGCGACTGGCTCAGAAAGTCGCTAAGTAAGGAAAACATTTAAAATAAATTTAATAAATTTATTTACTTTAATTTAATTTAACAAATACATTAAAAAGTGTGGTTATTAAAGGAAAAGTGTCTGATGGGAAAGTCCGCATAAAGTAGTTGCTAGGAAAAATACAAGGAAGAAGTAATGAAGTAGGGAAAAGTACAATAGTGGAAAAAAGTGATTGTCTTTTAAAGGGAATGAAAGTATATGCTTTTAAAGATAAAAACTTTAGATAAAGAAATTCTGTGGGAAAACGTTGAAGAATGTAAAGGGGATGAGTAATTATAAAATAAAAATTATAAATTAATTATAAACTCGCGTTGAGAAACGCGACACTCCCGGGCCGACAAATGGTTGGACATTAATAAATTGGAATGGCAGGCATGGAGTTGCGGGGGTTAAGATTGGTACCCATAATGATCGAATTGAGGGGGCTCGATTAGTAATTAGATTAAGGGAGACATTTGGAGGTGGTGGCGGGGTTAGTAATGTCTGTATATAGTTGGGGTTAATATAAATCTTATTAAAGGGAGTGGGTTCCGAAATTGTGTGTTTTTTGTGAATCTTTTTATTTCTTTTCCTCTTCCCCTTTCTTACTGAATTCTTCTTTATTGTTTGTTCGTGGATGGTGCCGGATTCGATGGTGCCAGTTTCAATATGCGCACTCGGGCGGCGAAGTTGTAGCTTTGTGGGAGTTTGAAAGAAGCCAGGGACGGTGGTTTGTAGGAAGCCAGTGACCACGACTAGCCTTTAACTTTATATTTATTGAAAACTTTTTAAAAGTCATTGCTCTGTACAAAAATCTTTTTTTAGCAGAGATTAAATTGCTTTTAAAATTTTTATATCAATTGTGAGCAATCTTATTTCATTATCCCCTAAGTTTTAGTAAACATTCTAAAAGAAAGAGAACATTTTTAAGGTATAATCTCCTTTCCTCTCTATCATACTTTTTCTCAGTTAATTAACTGATTAACTGTTTTTGTGCCTCTTATATTATGAATGATGAATTGTTGTTAATCAGGAATGTTTAGCGACTGGCTCAGAAAGTCGCTAAGTAAGGAAAACATTTAAAATAAATTTAATAAATTTATTTACTTTAATTTAATTTAACAAATACATTAAAAAGTGTGGTGATTAAAGGAAAAGTGTCTGATGGGAAAGTCCGCATAAAGTAGTTGCTAGGAAAAACACAAGGAAGAAGTAATGAAGTAGGGAAAAGTACAATAGTGGAAAAAAGTGATTGTCTTTTAAAGGGAATGAAAGTATATGCTTTTAAAGATAAAAACTTTAGATAAAGAAATTCTGTGGGAAAACGTTGAAGAATGTAAAGGGGATGAGTAATTATAAAATAAAAATTATAAATTAATTATAAACTCGCGTTGAGAAACGCGACAAATGTTACGATCGGCGAAAATATGTATAACAGATGAGTTGTGGTTTTAAAGTTTTAGTTTTAAATAGAAACTAAAACTCTAAAACTAAAACTAATTTTTATTTATCAGTGAGAGCTGCTTTACGTTCCGGAAGACGACGGACATTACTCGTCTACATATCAAGACAGAAATTTAAGTATTGATATTTCAGAACGTATGAATCATGATTTAAAAATAATTTTTTGATTACATTTTTATGGTCATAACTAGGGACCGGATTTTTAGGTTGTAAAAACCTTAAAATAGGTACTTAAATAGGTTTTAAAAAATGCCGAAATAGGTTACAAAAACTCGAAAATAGGTGACAAAATTTGAAAATAGTTTCAAAAAAAGGTCGACATAAGGGGTAAAAAAAGCAAAAATAATGAATATTTTCTATTTGCAGTTTAAAAATTTTATTCTCATATTAAAAATGGTAAAAAATTCCCATTTTTTAAAATTTCCACTGGAAAATATTAATTAAGAAAAAAATTTTAAATTTTTGAAAAAAATATTTTACCAAAAATTGAAAAAAATTTTTGGGTGATAAGAAAAATTGACAAAATTTTTAAAAAATTTTATGTTTTTAAGGAAAATTTTGAAAATTTTTTGATAAAAAATCATATTTCCCATAAAAATATCCATAATAGGAGACAAAAATGCAAAAATCTTCAAAATAGGTTACAACCTATTTTAGGTTTCAAAACGCCTAAATAGGTTCCAATAGGTGATAAAAAGTCCGCGTAAACAAAAGATTTTCAAAAATTAACAATGGATTTGAGTGCAATTCATCATAACTATTCCGCTGAAAAAATAGGTTATAACCTAAAAATCCGGTCCCTAGTCATAACTGATTTTTTCAGCATCATTAGTACACCTTGAATATATCTCCAGAACAAAGTTTATTTCTAGAGATTAAGAAAAACATTGAACGATATGATGGAATTATGATTTGAGTTCTATTATGTAGCGATTAATAGGCATTTAGGGGCTAAAGGTTATATCGAGTTATTTACGATTAAGAGGATATTAAAATATTGGAAACTAATCAGCATATTCTCTAAATGCTACTAAGATCTTTCAACAATTTACAGTCACTTTTCACTTTTGCGTACATTTTTCATTAATGTAGACGGGCTTAAGCTTTAGACGACGCTGACTGCCATGATTGCTTTCAGTCTTAAGTGCAAAATTGTTACGACCGGTGTTACCGAAGTAGGCGATCACGCTCACAAACTTTATCGACGACGAAATACATATTATAGAATATAGTTGTAGGTTTTATATTCAGACTTTTTTTAAAATTTGCTATCAATCTCTAGAGTCTGCTTTGTTATTAATATTTTGGAATTAAAGATTCAAATAATTACATTTAAAAATGAAATAAGAATGAATTTTTAAATGTCCGACCTATTATGATTTAACATTGTTTTATAATTTGTTCACTAAATTCAGAAAATTAATGTTAAAAAATTATGATAATTTAATAATATTTATTCGATTATTGTATTGTTTGATTTTCATTTGTCTTCTTGTTTATCATTTTTTGTTTATCGTAACAACTTTTGCATATATATTGTTCATGTATTGAATGATGGTGCCAATGTGATGTTTTTGTTTCTCCACAAGTAAAACATTTCCGATCGTTTGTAATTCGCTAAAATATTTAAAAAAATAGGAGTTGAAACTATTTCTCATATCAAATATTTTAAAGCTATTATTATAATTTTCAACGATTGCTTCCAACTACTTTGCAGTTAGAAGTTTAAGATTTTTAGTTCTTAAGTTTTTTTGTCTAAGTTTACAATTCCTACAAGTGCAAAAAGTAATGTTCCTGTAGATACTTAAGAAAATATTAAAATCCATTAAATAAATGAGATCGCTAATAATTTCTTAAAATATGCTCTAGATATTTAAAACTACTGATATACTTTTAAAAAGTATTGTTAATTATATTATGAATAAATTTAAACCATTTTAGTTCGATAAACATATCCTTTTGGTCTCATTTTGCCGTGTAATATTTTATAATCGTGACATGATTTGCACAAATAATGTTCTTTTAGGTATATATGCCAATTTTTAGTAATTGTAAATCTACAATTGAAACAGTTTCGTTTATTTCCTTCAATTATTCCTCCTATAATAATAAACTATATTTTTAGGTATATATAAACATATTAAATATTAAAAAAATATTTACTTATTTCACCACCAATGGAAAGAATTCTGTTTTTTAATTCCTTCGGATATTCAAATTTTTGTTTTTCAAACAATTCAATTTTATATCCAATTAAATTAATTTCCGTCCAATAACTTGATAAAAGTTTGTTTTTGTAATTTTCTATATTTTCTTTTAATAATTCTTTTTTATTTATTTTTATATTTTCTAAACTCTCATACAATATAGAAGTTTCATAATATTTATTCTTCTTCTTAATAAATTCAGCAAATCTGAGTACCTTTTATGGATAAAAAAATATTAAGGTTTGCTAAATAATTGAATACTGTTTGGATATAACGTCCCACTAATTCGAGTTTCGATATTGATTGATTTTACATTTCTGGTTATATTTGATCCAGCAATAGCAATTATTTTCAATATTAATTCTTTGCGAAAATAACTATTGAATAAAAACAGAAAAAACTAATTAGCCTCAAAAAGCGAAGACTCAAACTAGGAAAAAGTACCATAATTTATACCTCTTATTATTTTCAGAATTTGTATTCAAGTAATCAAGAAAAAATACCTGTTTTTCAAATGCTGTATGAATATCTTGAATAATTTTATTTTCTGCAATATTAATCAAAACTTTTCTTTTTAATTCCACATAAAATTCTGATCTGACATCTACC